CTCTGCCCCCTGGGTTCAAGCAATTCTCCTGCCTCAGCCTCCCGAGTAGCTGGGACTTCAGGCTCTCACCACCATGCCCAGCTAATTTTTGTATTTTTAGTAGAGACGGGGTTTCACCATGTTAACCAAGATGGTCTCGATCTCTTGACCTCGTGATTCACCGACCTCGGCCTCCCAAAGTGCCGGGATTATAGGCGTGAGTCACCGCGCCCAGCCACTATTGCAAGTTTTAAACAAGCTCAGACCAGGGAACTTCCTAACTTGGACATACACTTCATAGCAATTTCTTCTCTTAAAATAGTGGAAAATGAAGCTCTAAAAGCTCAGTGAATGAGAAACGCTAGCAAGCTACTGCAATTTGAAAAAATGATTTTATTTCAAGAGTCAGTCTTGCACCTTTATCACTTAAATTTGGTTATCTCAGCATGAACCTTCTGAGACTCACAGCGAGAATTAAAACACTTTTGTATATGCAGAAACTATCCCGTAGTCTACCTGTTCTCAAATTTGGCATGCTTGCTGGGCCCCACCACCAATCTCTGATTTCTGTAGGTCTGGGATAGGACCTTCGAATGTGTCTTTCAATTTGCCAGGTGACACTTGTTCGAGCCCAAGCCAAAAGAAGTGACAGTAAAGACTGACATCCAGAATCTTGTAATTCAGTTCTCTTTCTACTCATCTCACTACCTGTGCTCTGCTTAGGTAAATGTTTTTGACAGAATGTGGAGGAACAACCCATGGATTCTTTGCTTCTGTCCAAACCTAAAGGTTGAAGAGAAACTGACAGCAATATTGAGAGTGAGGCAAGAGAGAAGAGAAACCTAGCTTTGGAGTCACATCTGGTTTTCAATGCGGGCTTCATGCAAGTTGGACTGAGTTAGGTGCCTTAGGTCTGGAAACCTGTTTCTTCATGTAAATTTGTGGGAATCACAGGCGCTCCCTCATTAGGTTGTTCTGAGAAATATGGCTGCTTACACAGCAGTGAAGGGCTCAACAGAGGCTGTTAGTGGTAGTAATAATAAAGCTGGGGGAAAAAAATAACCCGACTGGTGGATACTGAATTGTACCTGAAATATATTTAAAAATACACCAGATTAGAAGAGACTCAACAGATTGTCTAAAAAATAAATTAAATAAACCAGATTACTCTGAAATACCTCCGTGCAATGTTTTCCAGTCACTAATTGAACAGCTGAACGGGGGACAGGACAAACGTCCTTATTCCAGTGGAATTAATTTTAACAACAGGTAGTTTAGCTTCTATTTTAAGTGCTAGAGAGCAGTAACCGTTAAATCAGGTGGCTGCAGCAGAGCGCACACACCCAATTTCAGAAGGAAGTGCTCACTGATTCCCTGCAGCCAACTCCCGTTCGCGTAGGCACTCCCACCGGCCC